GCTGGATCGTGGAGACGGGAGAGGGCGTCAGGCTTGGTATTCTTGGATCCAAGACAATATGTGAGGGTGAAATTAAACCGAGTCAACAGAAGTGCCCACCGGGCCTGTCGTGAATTAAGTCTCTTAGCGGAGCGAATGTACTCCAGGTTCTTATGATCCGTAAAAACAGTGAATGGCTCCTTAGTCCCCTCGAGCCAATGTCTCCATTCTTGTAGGGCTGTAACAACCGCCATGAGTTCCCAGTTTCCCACGTCGTAGTTCGACTCAGCGGCACTGAGTCGACGAGAGAAAAAGGCGCAGGGGTGCAATTTCTGGTCAACTGGAGAACGCTGAGACAAAACTGCCCCCACTCCTGAATCCAAAGCGTCCACCTCTACAATAAAAGGGCGGTCAGGATTAGGATGTTGCAGTACGGGTGGGTTAGTGAAGGCTGTTTTCAAATTCGCGAAGGCTGAGTCTGCATCCGAGTCCCATTTGAACGGGATCTTAATGGACGTCAACCGGGTTTAACGGTAGAGCTTTTTGGCTATAGTTGCGAATAAATCTCCGATAAAAATTTGCAAACCCCAAGAAACGTTGTAGTTCCTTACGGCAAGTAGGTGTTGGCCATTCTACCACCGCCTTCGTTTTAATGGGGTCGGCTCTCAGCTTACCCAGCTCGATGATAAATCCCAGGAAAGAGATGGTTTGTACATGGAACTCACACTTCTCTGCCTTGACGAAGAGCCTGTTCTCTAATAACCGTTGTAAAATGAGCCTGACGTGCTGTTTGTGTTCCTGTAATGACCGGGAGAAAATCAAAATATCATCGAGATAAACAAAACAAAATACATTTAACAGGTCTCTCAACACGTCGTTGACCAGACTTTGGAACACAGCGGGAGCATTAGTCAAACCGAAAGACATGACTAAATATTCGAAATGGCCTAATGGAGTCTTAAAAGCTGTCTTCCATTCATCCCCTTCCCGCACGCGAACCAGATGGTACGCACTACGTGACATAACCAAGCTTGCATTAGTGGAACCTGTTTGTGCATTGGGGCACAATAATGATTGACCTGAAAAGGGATTTTCACAAACTTTCCCTCAGAAATGCAATTGGCCAATTACAGTATGATCCATTAAATTTAATTCAATGATTTAATATTCCAAAAATGTCCAAAACTGGTCTGCTTGTTTCCTTCCACATTTGTTCAATTTCCATCGCGGCTTCAAAAAAAAAGCTTTGATTTAACTTTGACAACAGTTAAAAACAGACTTTGAATAAATACGACTATTGGTGATGATGATGGTGATAATAATTATGTTGAGGATGATGATGACGATGATGTATGTGTATTTTTACTCACTTGGACGTGATGTGGATGAATGAGTGAATCATTTGCCCCCCACAATCCCCTCGTTGTAACTGCCTGGAAATTATTCCAGTACAGTAATCAAATTTGTGTAATTGGTGGCGTCCACTTGGCGTTCCGTGATTGTTTCTCTACTTGATGACATTCAACGTCACAAAGAAACCAGTGCATTCTATCTTTGCAACTGTAGTTGTCATCTTCACTCGAACAGATTCAGATTCCCATCACTTTAGTATGTAATAAGCAAGAGTGGCGTAGATATATATATATATATATATATACATTTATCTCTCTGACTCACACATAGAAAAATTCATTAATCATGTGAAATAAAAGCAAATCTAAATTTAATGGTGCCGAACTACAGTCGATTTAAACAACTGCCAAACAACATGTGCAATCACTTATTTATGTAATTAAGGTGGAAAATCGTGCAAAACAAGACTGCGGATGACAAAAAAAGTGTGATTTTGCTGCTCTCCCGTTATTATTGTTATTATTATTATTATTATTATTACCAGTACTCCCCATTTATCAATTTGTACTCCTGTTGTTCTGTTTTCCCGAACCAGACCAGTCGCTTGTGCAGCAATTTCGGATTGGTTGCCCCAGTGTGAGAAAGAAAAAAAAAGTAAGTTCCTCTTCTGGTTCAAGTGGTGCATCACACAGGATGACCTCCAGGATGTTAATGAGATGCCTTGCTATATATACTGTTTGCATGTCGGTCGCAGTACATCTCTTTTCAGGTAAAAAAACAGTGATGTTTAAGAGGCTACTAACACACCATGTGATGAATTCCGTGCTTTGCATTCTAAAAAGTGGTATTTCACGACATTTAATAAGCTGCCTGTTGTGGGGGACAACGATGTTTAGTGACCTCACATCCATTGTGTTGACCTTCAAAGCTGTAACCTTTTTTAGATTCTCATTTTCTTTCAGAACTGACACCAGGAGCCCTCTGAAAAGGTCAGAACTTTATTTTTCTGTTGGCTTCTTTTTTTATTTTTTTTTAAGTCTCAGGTAATTTTTCTTCACTAACTTTCTATTAGGTTTTCCGCACATGTATCAGCCCTTTCAGGCAGACTGATGTGGAGCCTTGTTAATAGTACTTTAGAAACCATGTATTTTCATAAACTTGGGTAGATAATTCCAAGACATTACTCGTATAAGAATTTCCCTTTTCTCCCAAAATGTCCTCGCAGGAACTTTAAAGTGGAATCAACGGCTCATTTTTTTAAAGACCTCTGTAAAGATTATTGCTATCAATATCTACCGAGGGTGGCACAGTAGTCCAGTTCTTCGCATGTCCACCGCACAGTGCAGAGGTCCAGGGTTGGATTCTGGGCTCTAGTCTTCCTGCGTGGAGATTATATGCTCTCCTGTGTGGGTTTTCACCAGGTCCTCTGGTTTCTTCCACATTCCAAAAACATGCATGGTAGTTGAAACAATCTATATGGGGTGTATGTGAGTGTGAATGGTTTTGTCTATGTGTGCCCTGCGATTGCCTGGCAACCAATTCAGAGTGTACCCTGCCTACAGTCTGAAAACGGCTGGGGGAAGGCTCCAGCTTGCCCGCGACCCTTGTGAGGATAACCGGCTTGTATCATGGATGGATGGATAGATGGGCATATCCACCGATCTCTCAATTCATATCTCTAGATCTATCGCGCTATATATTTCTATATAATTATTAAACATGTCATAGTCCAACAAATGAAAAATCCAATTCCAATATATGCATTGGTGTGTACTCTTCAATATATTCAGCACACAGAAACACTCAACACATTCATCAACATCAATCTCTTTAATAATATCATGTGCAAAAAAAAATTATATATATTATATACAGTTTAAATGTAAGCTAGCTGTGCCTGGAGTCATACAATACAAACAGCTCTGACACATGACCATGATTTTACTTTAAAAGTTATTTTGTGATCTCACACAGGGATAGCTTTTAAAGCTTGAGCCCGAAAAAAAGAAAAAAAAAACACATTTGAATGTTTTCCTCCAATCAGCTGAGATAATTATACAAAGATATACCATTGTCTCCTGCACAGCAAAAACAGAGAAGCAGCACATTTTCATAGCAATTATCAAAGAGCAACATTAATATTATATGTTTTTCTTCTTACTTTTGGATTTTCAACAGTTATTGGTTCAACATTCAAGTGGTCTGCAAAATGTAAACGGATGAGAGCAATCGGGTGCACTTAAACGTCCCTTCCTGCTCGGAAAGGTGCACTTTTTAAATTTTTTAAAAATTTTTTAATCTACACACTGAGAACACTGAAGAACGAGAGATCAGAGGTAAATAATGATCAGAGTCGTGTTAATACCTTTAAGCAGCTGGTACGAAATAATGTACAGGAATTTAACAGGCAGTAAATGTCAGCGTGTGCACCCTCTTGACATGTTCTCTTTAGCTTTTTTTTTTTTTTTTTTGCGTAACAACAACAGCAACAACAAAAAGAACACCAAATGATACATAACAGTGATCTTTAAGGACAAAAAACACTTTCAATCAAGTGCATTTGAATTGAGTCACAATGCCACACCGCTTTTCTCAGATTATAATGTTCGCATCTTGCGATCACCATCAAATGTATAACCAGGTGTATGGCTGGAGTTTGTTTTATATTTTCATCGTCACTCATTTTAACCTACTGGTAGAGGAACCTCATTGTTGCCATGGTTACGTGTCATTTCATACAAAAGGATGACTCAGCCAAACAACACACCACCTTTAACTCAATGGTGTTTGCGTCTGTCTTTATGATTTCCATTATTATTCACCCCCCCCCCTTTTTTTTGTTTTTTGCTGAAAGCAAAGCATATTATTGTGTCCACTGTCTCTTGACCGCTGCCATGGAGATGGATGCTGTTCATCCCTGGACGCTCATGGGATTCCTCCATGGGCCTGTGTGTCGCAATTGGACAAAGAGTCTTCCGCGTGGTTGCCATAAAATCAGGAATCTCAGTTATATGAACGTGCTGGAATGATACATTAAAGTTCAACTCCAGGAACTGGTCATAGAGATTATAAACATCACAAACTTTGCTTCTATTGATACTTTAGCTGACATAATACTTTCCACTAACAGCATTAAAACAATATGTTCAGTATTCCAATACTTAAGGCAAGTGTACGTTCCTCTACAAACTGAATGCAAAGAAACGAAATCCACCAAACAACACAGGAGGAACTACTCGTGAAAAGGTTACAGAGTAAAGGAGAAGTTCACCTTGAAACAAGACTTTTGCTTCAACTTTAAATTTAAACCATAACACATTTTAACTCCTTTGTCTTTTATCAATTCTCTGTTTGTCAAGGATTCAGTCTGTGGATTTGGAATACAAATTGTGAAAACAATGCTGATAGTAAGAAATTGAACTCTGGTTCAATAGCTTAGATTGTGTCTATTTTAAACTAATGGAACAGGTGGGGTGAGTCTGTCTCCTCAACTACAATTTAAACTATAAGTGATCCAAGTGCCTTTTTTTTTCATCCCAAGTGACAGAATTTGGATATACTTCATGGAAGCACAATGAGGAAAAAAAATGCTTGAACTCTGACATCCTCAGATCGGAATCGGGACTTTGACAAACACTGTATACACATTTGATACGTATCAGCTACGTGTCAATGCAAGTGCAGTGTAAACTGACAGTTCGGATCAATGAGGATGTATGAGCATTCGTGTCTGTCCAAAAAACACAAATAAGAATGAAAAAAAAACACCTTTAAATATAAACGACTATGAAAGTGTGGACAATTGAATATGACGTAAATATAATTTGAGGTGTGTTCATCATTAAGTAAGATAAGCTAAATAATTGACACCAGCAGGTCGTAGACTCATCATTTAAATTGGGGTGTGGCGGCAGGTGGCTGATCAGCTCCGTAATGTTTGAGTTTTGAATGATTATATATTCAACATGTTGACCTGCATGTTGAAACTACCCGGTGCGTGTTATTTCCGTGCAATTTGTGCATCTGAGCATGTGGGTTGTTTCATGTGTTTTGTAAACATAAAAACAGATGGTCTGGAAGATGTGTCACTTGAAACGTGCAAATGGATTGTGTTGGTAAAAGAAATCAGACGGCATTAATTTGCAATTGGTTCATTGGACATGCAGTGTGAACCCAGCCCTGGAGACGTGAAAGTGATTACCTACATACAACAGGTCTTGGAAACTTTTTTTTTCATCACATCCGTCAACCAACGTCAAGCATGTGAGCCCTAAAGGGTATCATGTGGCTAAAATCAATTAGCCATGATTAAAAGTGGTGATTATACATAAATACTAAAAACACATCTGTGGCAAGTGCCCTAAAGCCCTAATCAGGATGCACAGTATCAAAACAAGACAAGAAAAGAGTACTGTACTGGTATAAATAAACTAAGAATGTGCAGCATCATGATGACCCTTTATGGTTTTTGTTGAAGTTTTACTGTCAGCTTTAAGACACTAAGAAGAGATTGAGAGTGAGCCCCTTTGTCCCTTGGAGTGGGGTTCCAGCTTAGTGACCCCCTTCTCGTGCGTCGCACTCCAACGAGGCCCCCAAACCAACCCTCAAAAGTGACCCTTGAACCGGCGAACTGCAACACAGCACCTCCTCGCAGCATTCGCAAAGCACCTCCGAAGATGCGGGGCTTGTATCATGCACGCCCCTTATGCCAAAAAGTCAGATTCTGAACAATGTCACTGTTCAATTAGAAGCCCCACGGTTATCTGGCACTGATGCTGCATTCCAGAAAACATGAATGAAGGATCTTGAGGGATCCGAGGATTCCACATCTTCCTTGTAACGCAAATAGAAATAAGACAACAATGGAGAGCTCATAACTGGCTAACACATTTTTTTTTTTTTTTTTATGTCGATCTATTTAACCAAATGACTGCATGCGGAAAGAATATAGCAACATATCTTCACACCAAATTCCGTGCAAAACAGATTGCTATTAAAGATAATATCAAGTAGAAGCTATTACTACAAATAAAAAGACTTGACCCAGCTTGTTACATTTACAGTATGCGCTATGACAAAGTGCTGCATTTAAATAAATTCCCCCACTTTGGCTATCGATTAGCATTCCATTGCGCTTTCCCAGTGGGAGATCTGAAACCTTGGAATCCCCCGTTTTCTAGAATGCAGCATAATAATTGCTTCGACTTGGTGAATTCTCAAGTGGGTCTAATCATGTAGCTGAAGTCACATTCATACGACCCATTATGTCATCTCTATACACACACACATATGTTCACAGCCAATTTAAAATCTCCATCTAAAGCTTGAACACCTCTATCCCGTAGACCCACTAGGGATTAGAGAAAGTGAATTCATACATCCCGATGGCCTGAAAAAATGACCTCAAAAGATACAATCAACCATCATGTTGATCCTTCCTTTCCCAAGCCTAGAGCAATGACATCTGCGATCCTTTCACCTCCACTGTCAATATACAATCTTCTTCAAAGCACCAATTTAGTGGTTTGATCGCCTTCTCCAGTCATGTCCAGCCTTTGTCTCTGTGACTAGACATGCAATCAGTGAGGCTTGTTAGCATGGGAATTGGTTTTAAAAATAAATCCTATTTAGGGTTTATCTTCTGATACATGCGGTAATCTCCCCAAAGTGGTGGAGCATTCCAAGAATCAGGATGTAACCGCTCTCAAATGAAGCACCGCCTACACTCCAAATGTCCGCCACGCTGTCAATTCTATTCTTGTTTTGATCAAGTCGTACCTTTTCCCAGTCATAAGGTCTTCCCGACTCAACGTTTTCTCAGATTCTTTTCCCTTCTGCACCATCGTCCTCGTCAGACTCCCCCCCACCCCAGGCCACTCGTATAGTTGGGGGATGGGGGGGCTCGTGCCGCTAGAGAGCTGTAATCTGAGTCAATTCGGTGTTGGAGTTCCCCGTCCCTGGTGTCTCTCTCCTCTGTTGGGGACCTTCCCCCACCAGGGGAAGCTCCACGCCTAGTCACGCCGGATTGGGAGTCCCTCCGCCGGGCCCGCCGCCGTTGGCCTTGCAAGTGTAGGCGGCCGCTACCTCCAGGGCGAGGCTCCTCATCCGGCCCGACTGCTGGGTGTCCAGAAGGAACGCCGAAGGTTGGCAGAACTCTCGGAAGCAGCGCTTGAAGTTCTCATCCAGGAAGGCGTAGAGAACAGGGTTGAGGCTGCTGTTAACATAGCCCAGAGCAATGCAGAAGTGCATCAGGACCAACGTGGACAAGCTGCTCAGGTTGAAACCCAGCGACTGAGCCAGGACCATGATCTGGATGGGTGTCCAGCACACCACAAACACCGCCACCACTACCAGAACCATCCTGGTGATGCGCCGCAGGTTACGGTCTTTCTCCTTTGAGCCTGACAGGATGCGGACGCTGCGTAGGCGCTTGACCATCAGGCTGTAACAGACGCTGATAATGGCCACGGGGATGAGGAAGGAGAAGAGGAACACGCAAGTGCCAAAGACGGGATCCCAGTGACTTCGTGGTTCGGGTAGGACGACGATGCACTCGACGCCTAGATCCAGAGAAGAATGAAAACAGACATGAGAAAAAAAAAAATCTTCATGGAAAAATCACCAAATCAACATCATGTTGGAACTGTTGAGTGACCGCTGAGTGACAGAAATGTGTAGTCATGTGGCCCAGTATGTCATTTTTACAGAGAAAAATATCACACATGACTTCTTCCCATGTCAACATCAAATATCTTTTGCTGAGGAACATTGAAAATGTACCAAGTTCTTCTTTGAAGACTGTTCAAATGTTGTTGCTCGTGAATCAGAAATACTCAAGTGGTCCTTTGACTTACAAGTGCCCACGGCGTGTTTGGAGTTATGAGACATGGTGGATTTTTGTGTTGCCAACCAAAATTTGAGTTATAAGCTACTTTAGGTATGTCACTGCTTGAATGAAGTGGGGCAACAGTCACAGATGAACTTTCAGCCATTTATTGAAAAGTACAAAGAGACAAAATACACACACGAACAAAATTGTTGGTAGCTTAATGAATGAAAACTCTACAGTGGTCACAGAATTAACGTGAATCTGACAAAAGGAAAAAAATATGGTACCTCTACAAAAGAAAAGACCATTGGCACATTTTCAACCAGGGTGTGTTTGATTAGCTTTACGGGTGTCTTCAAACTTGTCATCAGTCATTCGGCCTATTCAAGTGATGAGTAGTGACAAGCAGTCACTGTGAGGATGGTGACAGAGTTTGAATACACCAAGCCAGAGAAAGTGAAGGAGAGAGTTGTCTTGGGGGATTCGAAAGAAAATGATCTCCCAGAAGCTTCATGTTCCTGTGACAACAGTTGCACATACTACTCAGAAAGTTAAGATTGGCAAGACTGTCGCCAAACTCCCTGCATCAGATTTATATGGCACCTTTCTGAACACTGGACACTGGAGCACTCACAATGAATTCATTATTAATGCAATCACACACTCACATTCTGATGCCTTGAAACTATGTATGTAGCCACAGGCAGATGGAAGTGTGGCTACCCGTGTGCCCCTACGGCCCCGACGAGCACCACCAAGCATTCACACCCAGCCATGAGTGGCACTAGAGGCAAGGTGGGTGAAGTGTCTTGCCCAAGAACATGACACATACATTAACTCAGATCGATTGGCAATCGAACAGTGGACAGTGTGGTTACTGGACAACACTCTCTACCTCTGAGCCATTGCCGCTGATGATTGAAGCTACGGCTAATATAAATGGAAGGATTAGAGCCCTCAGCAACCCAAAAAATGTAAAGGCCAACTCCGCGGTTTAGGCACATTAGTGTCAGATTGCACCAGCCATCGTTGTTTGAGCCAAATGAATAAGGAGGACAGCACTGTTTAAAATAATGACCAAAAAAAAAAATCCAACTGCATGTTACAAGCCACAAAGCTTCTGGGAAAATTCTATACACAGACGAGACAAAACTGGAACTTTATTGGCAAGTCACGTCAGCTCTTATATGTTCACAGATGCAAAAATGAAGCATCCCAAAAAAAGAACACTGTCCCGACTGCGAAACATGGAGGAGGCTCTGTTATGTTCTGAGGCTGCTTTGTAGCATCTGGCACAGGGTGTTGAGGTATTCTCACGAGAAATGTGCTGCCCAGTGTCAGAAAACTTGGTCTCGGTCACAGGTCATGAGTCTTCCATCAGGATAATGACTCAAAATACACATTAGCATGTGCCTGATGGGGTAAAGTTGATGCATGTTGTTCTGTTAGAATGACCTTGCCATTCCCAGGCAGTCACCGAAAGCTGTACGTCATCCGTGCTGTTTGAAAGATGGAGTCAGACCCAAAGACACTTTTGAAGAGTTTTATTGGAGGGGAAACATGCCACGCGCTTGTGCTTTGACCCAAAGCATTGCAAGTTAAATATTGCCTCATAAACATCATCAAAAGCCTTCTTTTCAATTGCAGACAATGTGGGTGTTATTTGCATACATTAAGAGAGCATGAAAAATGAAAATAACAAACGTGTTTAGCCAGCGATGCTCATATTAAAAGGCGGACGAAAAGAAAAGGATGGTAATATATGCATGTGTAATGGCACTTGATGGCGGAGGGACAAAGAGATGACGTGTGCGTCGAGGGACCGTAACAGAAGATGAGACGGCCGCTTTATTGCTTTTAATTAGAGGCTGCAGTCTGAGACTAATGTGTCTGAGGCTACAGACTGATAAGGAGAAATAGGAGAGTGACACGCAGACAGAGCAGACCTTAACCAAGGCATTTGTCAGATGTGAAATCAATAACAGGGTAATTACCTATCTATCATCTAAAAGCTCAAAGGAGGTCACCCAAAACAAGACTTCCTCCGGATCAAATTGTAATGCAAATGGTACAATTATTTGATGGAATAAATCATGGCGATAATGTCCTTCGCCAGTCCTGTATGGAATCTCTCATGCTGCGTGCGTGAGCGCAACAAATGAGCTGAAATGTGTTATTTGTAGGTGTTTCATATTTATTTATTATTATTAGTTGTTTTTTCTTTGTTTGTTTTTTTTTTTTTTTTTTTACAGTTTTTACAACACATTCAAACATTTATGGGGATTGACGGTCTTTATTTGTTTCTCATCTCATTTTCTTTCAGCCTTAAGCGATGCTTCCTTCCACCACGTGTCACATCTCCCTGGTAAGATTCCCTTCCACCTGATTTTCTTGTTTGTTTGTTTTTTTTCCTCAGACTTTAGACATTTCGCAGATACTTTGATCTATCATCTGGGATTTTGTAGTAATCTCATTACTTTCATTGCCTGACGGCTCATCGATGCATTGACTTCAAGAATGTGCAACTACGAGAACATGCTAGAGCTGATAACAAGGAGAATATATATTATTATTATTATTATTATTATTATTATCAGCATTAATTTAAAACAATTTTAACTCGATAAATTTTTTAGCGCGATATTAATGCGGCACCATGTCACAGCGGATGTTACGTTGCTGTAAAATAATAAAATGTGCTCCAAGTTTGAATAACTGCTCCAAGTGAAAAATGTTAATGTAAAATTGAAAATCGAAATTGTTGTTTCAGTAAATATTTGCATTTTGCACAAAGAAAACTGATCCACGATTCCATGTTGATGAGAGCATTAAAATGAAAAAAATTGTAGAAAAAGAAATCAAAGGAAATTTAGAATACAGTAGATACAAATCTGTGATTAATTATGGCTAAGTCTGAGTTAACTATGAAATTATACATTTGATCGCGATTAAGTATTTTAATCGTTTGACAGCACTAATATCTATATAAATGGATTATCGTGCTATTTATTTCAACATGCTTGTCAGTAATCTAGTACAGAGTAAAAACTTTCCTCGAGACCAGGCCTAATTGGCGAGCAAGTGCAGTGAGAATTCAAAGTTAACTGACCTTGTGTTCTTTTGTTTATTTATTTATTTTTTACATAAAATGAAATGCAATGTGAACTACACCGTCATTATAGTTTCCAAACGTTTATCTAACCAGTGCCTAACATATTTTATGATGGTTGAGAATGTTAAATGGTTTCTTCAAACACCTGCGCAGAGGATAAAGCTTTCGTAATGGAGGCAGTTTAACACTGAACAAGATGACTTGTATTCCCATGAGATCTTTTCCACATGTTCCCTGCACACAATGGGCAAGTGCACAGTACAGTTTGATTTATTTATTCAATTATTTTGTGTCATTCATCGGCTACGTCAGCTCTAAGCGCGCTCGCAGGAAGTCCAGTGCAGGATGTTGCATACCAGCAGAAGAAAAGGTCATTCACTCAATAGCTGTTAGTGGCAATCGCTCTTTCGAAATGTCTCACCTTCCCAAATGTTAATTGTCCCCTTCCACTTAATCTCTTCCGCCAATCGCTGTTACTGCGCATTGCCATTGTTGCAGGGAAGCATTTTTGGCCTGAAATGGCATTCATTAAGTCAAGCCTCAGTCAATGAGCTTTTTATTTAATTTGTGGACGCAAATTGTGACGATGTTGGACACAGACACACTCACACACACCCAAATGTTCAATATTTTACATACATCACTGCATATTGCTTCCTGTCAAATGTCTGGGAAACATGGCTTGCCTATCTTACAAGGGAACACTGTAACACTACATATCTAAAGAGGGTTTTTTGTAGTTTTTTTGGGGGGCGCAAACTGTGTCTTCATGAGTTGACTTTAATATAAAATTAATTTTGCGAAATCCCCTTAAAAGGTTAACATGAGAATATGTTTGTGTGTGTGTGTGTGTGTGTGTGTGTGTGTGTGTGTATTGTCATTGAATTAAATATATGTAAGATACATTTACATATAATGCTGGTCATAACAAGCAATATACCTTTAAAAGTTAGCTGAGCTGTAGTTGCCGTGGTAACTGCCACTGTATGGTGAAGCTACAGAATCCTGACTTTAGTCATTATTCACTTAACTTGCTGTGTATAAAATTTGCATCTTGTAGTTTTCAAACAATAACAAAATTAGGTTTACTGATTCTAATTTAGCTTTGGAAAGTTAGACTAGTTCGACATACATTTTTCAAAAGTGCATTGGTTTGCGGCACCAGGACCTGATTTGATTTACCCTGATTAAAACCTGTAATTTTTCAAAAATCTCAGATTAGAAATTTACAAATAGCACGGTGCTTTCTCATCTTCTTATTTCAGATCCAATCAACTCAAAAGTACAAAACAGTTTTACAGTTTAATTTACTAGATAATGCCATTTGCTTTGCTGTTGCTTTGCTTTGTATAAGAACTAGCGACAAACAAGGCAAAGTCTCACCAATAAAAAGTATTTTCTAAAATATATAACCAAACAAAAAAAGTTGATGACCAGTATGTGGATTAATGTTTAATGATTTATTCAAAATGACAAGATAGCTCAGCAGGTTGCGTGACCACAGGATTAGGAGCGGGCCGCCATTCTGTCAGCAGGCCAGCTGGCAAAACAAGACCTCCTCTGGGGAAGCTGTTGGGCCTCATGCAGAGCAGCAGAGTGCCACCAACAACACCATGTGAACACACACACACACACACACACACACACACACACACACACACACACACAC